ACACACACACAAACACACGCACATCCCCACTCTTTTCCAGGAATACTGGATCATAAATTCCTGGTTCTGGAGTCATTTGACCTGTCTGATAGGAGTGTTAAAGGAGATAGACGGAGAACGCAAAAGGACAGGAAACTTATTTGTCCAATCAGATTGCTGCATTTCTCAGAAGTGAGGACAAGTTCAAACTTTTTTTTTTATATCTCTGCTCTCTAATCGTATTTCTTAATTAACCCTGATCTAGGACTGTGCTACATCCTGGTTGAACATCCCAAATATGCAGACCAAACAGTCAGAGACAGGAACAGATAGTCTGAGGTGTGTGGCTGATTCTCAGATTCCACTCCTGACCTGAGACAAGACAGAAACCAGGCTGAGCCAACCTGGAGGTCATGACCCCACAAGAGGTATGAAGGTCGGCCTATCAAGAAGCAGCTTGAGTCTTTTGAAAGTGGAGGAGCACCAGAAAAACAGGGACACTTAGTTTTTGCTTTTGATTTTATTGTTTCAAACACACAGAAGCTCATTTTCCATTTTCCATTTTAATACATACAACAACAACAACAAAAAAGGAAAATCTTGATTTATATTTTTGGTAGAAGGACAGAAAGACAGACACTTAACAGGACACAACTGATTATCATGCCCTGATCCAACACGTCTACTGTATGCTACATATCATGGTCCTCATGGGACGTGGAAAGAGTTTAAAAAATGACTTACATACAGATTGTTGAGAAGGTTTATTGCTGGACTGAAGCTCCACGGCAAAATGAAACTTCCCTTGCTCAGCCTTTTTTATATAATTCATTCACATAATTACAGTTTGCAGGCTGTAAAATAAAGTGGTCCCTATTCACCCCTTTTCCAATGTAACTGCAAAGTAAATATTGGGTATGTGGGCTGAAATATGTAGCATGGATTATAAATGATATATATAACCCACTACAGTCTATAACCGCAATAAATACTACTGAACAAAATATGTCCATCTCAGAATTGTAATATCAAAGTGTAAAGATTACGCAGAATCTAGAGCCTTTGTTTGCTCTCTAGCAGACCTGTGGCACTGAACTGAAGTTGGAAGCTTGTGGATTAACCAGTTGGTAGTCTTGGGAAACCCGGCGATTGGAGATCTTCCCATCTACCAATCGTCTGAAGATTTCTAAATGCAAAGTGGTTTCTTGAACGGCTCTCCCCCCATTGCCTTGGGTTGTGAAACAAACTAGAGAGAATCTGGAGAGAGCTTTTTAAAACACTGAAAGTCTAACTTATGTCACTTTTGGCCGATGCCCAAGATAACACTCACTCGAGCCTGCGGACTATGTACAAAGAGTGAGTGGGAGCAACAGGACGCTGACTGCAGCTCACTTGACGGCCACTGGTGTCACTATTAACACTGTTTTTCTGAAAGTTACAGAAAACCTCAAAATGACTTGACCATTTCACAATGTCACCTGTTGAAAATGTGCCATCTCTAATGATGTTAAATGAAATGCGAAAAGCTTAAGATGCGTACACATACACGTGAAAATGACCTTAAAAGTATCGTACTTATTATAAGACATCCCATGATGTCACATTGTCTGATCAGCTGGTAATATCAAGGGTTAAAAACTCTATAAACACGCAAAGTACTGAATAAAGTAACAAAATTAGAACTCATGAACAACATGAATTTATACACACTGGAGCTCTGACCTCTTGACCTCTCTCTCTTTCTCTCTCTCCTGTAGTCTCTTCACCACCCAGACAGCCCTCGTGGGCGTCATTTAATCTTCTTCTTGTCCCACTCTGTTCCTGCAGACTTCCTGCCCACTCGCTCTCCCTCTCTCTTCTTTCAGCCCCTCACTGATCATTAACCTCCCTCCTTGTTGCACGCCCACGCCGCTCGTCCTGATCTCGTCCTGGTGGCGGGACGGCAGTGCGTCTGCTGTCAGGCTCCGGAGGGGAGAAATGGATGACAGGTTCATTGAAGGCAGATATAATAACAGGGGGGTAATCAGTAATGAGAAGGTGTCCAAACTGTAAAACAGACACTTCATGAGCAAACATTTGATAAAGACAAGAAAGCCCTAAACAGGTTGTGAATAAGAGAATGTTTTTACAAAATGTCTTCATACTGGAACAATTCAAAGATAAAAGATAAAAAAAATCTTTCCAAAGAATACAATTAAACAAAAAACTCCAATGTAAAAAGTTCAATTGTGCACAGTTGCAGCCCTTTGTTCCACACACATTCACAGACAGAACATTGTGCTGTCTCAAAGCTCTCCCTGCTTCCTGTCCTGCTGCACCGGCAGGGTTTGGCCGACCAGAAGGCCTCCTGTCTGCCTTAACCTCATTTCTATAACAGATCAGCTCATTCATTCAATTAGCAAATGCACACACTCTCCCACGTGCACTCGCACATGCACGCTCAGCCATCAGAAATCCATGGCCTCCCAATCCAATTGTTGAAACGTAAACAGATTCCCAAAAGTCTCTGCGATCGGGGCTCTCTGATCGATAGAAACCTTTTGATCCATTAAAAGATTTCCTCTGTCCTGCGATCAGAACATGCAAAGAAGAGATATCAGTCAAATCAATAACCTTTAAAATGACGATCGGTGTTAAAGAACTGGGCTGAAGGTGGGACAGAGGAAAGATGATCGGAGCTGATGGGAAATATGACTGTAAAGAACAAACAGGAGAGAGGAAAGATGAAGCTACAGTGTTGGGTGTAGACGTTGTTACAGTGGAGGTCAGTGAGTCAGTCAATCAGCCACACACTGACAGATTTAAATGTCAGGGCTGAACAGCTGGCACTCAGCACAGCATTAGGCTCACTGTAGCAACAAGATGTTCGCAGCAGATTTACAGTCTGAGTTAATAAATCATTTCTCTCAAACAGAGGCAGTGTTGGTTTGAATAATGTAAAGCTTTTCACACTTCCTGGCTACTGGCAAAGCAAACTAAAATTTAAAAAAATAAAAAAATAAAAAACCCACAGCACTGATGGAAGCTATGCTCCTTTTTGGTAAATCTGGGCTCACCGTGTGCCAGGGCGATAGGATCTTCAGGGCATGTGGCATATGACTTGATTAGAACTCTCTGGTCAATGAACACACTGCTTTGGTTCTGAGCTTTTTTCACATTTTTGATCTTATTTTAACAGAAAAGAAGGGGTAACCCTGCTGGGGGCGGGGTTTAGTCAGCCATGTGCTGAGCTCCAAGAGTGAAACCAAATGTGTAAGCCCAGAGCAAAGTATAATGAAAATTTCCATTTAAAGGGTAATTCCAGTTTATTAGAATTTGGCTTTTATTTAATGTGGGTTAGGCCTAACTTATTGGAAGAGAAAATGAAGGTGAATGTTCTCCTAATGTCCTTGCTCAGTTTCCCCATGCAATGAGGAATTATTACTTTAATCTTACCTCCAAATAAAGTGGCTTCAGCATCTGGGAAAATTGTTTGCATGTTCAAACCAGGTTTTTCTTCTTTTCAGTAATATTCTTTTACAGTCCTTACACTGAATAACAGTCCAGGTTATATGGTAACGTTATCTCTAAACACATACACCAGATCTCAGCATTTACTTTGGTTAGTAAAATATAAATAATTACGGTTAAAGTCTTGGAAATGACAAACGGAATTATCCTTCATCTTTTTAACCTTGTGTTTGGTTGACATTACTTTGTACCAACCTATTTGTCTCTTTATAGATGTATTTTTCTGACATTATTAAAACCCAATGTTGGAGTGGTAACTCTTCACTTTGGACTTACACATTTGATCAGGGTCACAAAATGGCCATAAATTATTGTTGATAGCACAAATGTGTCATGTTTTATAAGTTATAGGAGCTGTACATGAACAAACATTGTTGTTTTGTTTGCCAAAAAGTAATCCACATAAATAAATAAACAGTATGTTATCCAACAGAGTGATGTTCCTTATGTTTGTCATCAGTTAGCCCAGAGAGGTTGAACTCCCTGTTAGAGCTCTTATGAACAAACTGTTATAAAACTCTAGTGACAGAAATCCTATATTTGGGTTTTAGAAGTAAAAGTCTAATGTCAGCACTGATCTCACATAAAAGCACATGAAGATTCGTTGCAGCCTATTTAACCACAGCTAGAAGGGAAGCAAAGTGACATTTACTGAAACATGCCATCAGTTCAGAATCAGATTATATAAGTTACTCAATCAGGAAATGAATTGTGAAGCAATACAGCGATACATAAGGATCAGAATAGGGTAACATTTAAAATATATAAAATAAAATATATAAATATAAATTTCCTGTACATACACAGGATATAATTCTGCAGTGGATTTTTCAATATTTGAATCTGGATGAATGCAAACAGCAGCAACAAGATAGGGATGATAATGAGGTTTCATCTTCACGTAAAAAGGTTCAGCATTTGTGAAACAGTGACTGTCCACTTTGACTGTGTTAGAACAATGTTAAGAAAGTTTGTTGAGTTGCTGTTAAAAAGGACTCTGGGTTCTACAGGACCCCGAACACAACACCATGCTGTTGAACACCAACCATTTCCCTGTGTAGTAGTCTAGTAGTCACACTGCCAGCAGCAGTATGAGCAGAAGAATATTTAGAGAAATAATAAGCTTGCCCTGCAGCAGCAGTGGTGGAGTTCTAGAGGTGGCATTAGGAGAAGCAGTGTTTGTACTGTAGGTTGCTTTCTGGGAGGACTGTTGCAGGGAGCAGGTCTGGAAGCAGCAGGCCGGCTCACAGCTCCTCTTTTATTCTCTGCCTCTCTCTTTGCTCTGACAGATCCGTGCTGATATCAGATTGATGGGCCGGTTTGATTGAAGTCTCTTTGTCGTGCTAATGTCACGGCGAGTGATGGATGAGGCGCGTGCGTCGATATAAACGCGCGCGCGCAAACTCCACTTCTAAACCAAAAGGTTCCCCCCCATTCCCCTCCCCTCCCCTACACACACACACACACTGGTTCCCCCGCTCCCGAGACCGACCGACAAACTTCTGGCCTCCGGTCACCATAGGCGACGTGACGACGACTCACGTGACCCGCGACAGAGGTAAGAAAAGAAATGACACGGAAAAGAGAATGGGAGAGAGAGAGAGAGGGGGAGAGAAAGAGAGTCACGGAAAAAGAGGGGAAAGCAGGGAGTTTGAGAGAAAGGCCGAGCGGAGGACGGAGAGTAACCTGTGTGGGGGTGGAGAGGTGTGTTCTCGCGGTGTTTCCCGCTGTCACTGAGGCGCGTTTGGTGAGCTCAGGTTGAGTTGAGCTATTGACAGGCCTTCCGTTTACGCAAACACACACACACACACACACCGCAGCAGAGCATTATTCATGTGTGTTTCGGGTTTGGGGACGTGCAGACTTTACTTTTCCCCTGCACATTGGAACTTTCTGACGTTTTTATTTTTATTTTCTATTCAGATTTGACTGAATTTTAATTTAATTTTAGTTGATGATTTTTGTCCAAAGATAGCCTGCTTCTTTTTCCTTTGGAGGTTTTTATTTTTCTTTCGGTTTATGCTCGCTCAGAGGGATTCCACATCATCCTATTGACTCTTGGGAAAAAAAACCTTTTTAATGGAACATTTCGATTTTTGTTGATGTTTTCTTCCACCTAAGTTCTGCTACCGTCACCTTTGGGCTCCCGTTTCCTGCTGAGCATTTTTAACTGAACTCATTCCCACCGTGCCTCCGGTCTGCATGGACAACATGAACTCCTTTGTGGAATACTCCATTTGTAACCGACCGGGGACCGGCGCTTATCCTGCGCCTAAATCTGGATACCACCACCACCATCACCATCTGCATCACCACCACCATCCTCTGGATCAGCACCAGGGCTTCCCGGTGACCTCCGGCGCCTTCCACACGGGACCAACCGGCCCTCCAGCTCCCGTTAACGGGACGAGAAGTGACAGCAGCGCCGCGGGGGCGAGTTACACCGGGGATGGGCGACTGTACGGGGGCACTGGAGGTGAGGGAGCGCACGGGACCACAGGGGCGACCCAGCATCATCAGCAGCATCCTCATCACCATCATGAACAACAACAGCATCAGCAGACGCACAGCGGCTACCATCATCATCCTCACCTTCACCAAACCCAAAGCGTACAAAGCGGAACATTGTCTCCTTATAATACCGGGAATAGCGGCAACACCGGGGCCTACGCGGGCCAGGCGTGCGCCAGAAACTCAGAGTACGCTTCCGCGACGGGCCCTCCCAACCCCGTTCACTCGCAGTATTTCATGGAGGAGCCTGTGGCCTCCACCTACTACCATCAATCAACCTTCCCCAGCTCGGCCCCCAGCGTAGGCCCCAGCTACGGGGCCCTGGCCGGGGCCTACTGCGGGCCTCAGGGCGCACTGGCCGGCTCACAGTACCCACAGCAGCTTGGTGGGGGTCTGGACGCAGCGGGCTACCTGGGGCTTCCTCACGGCGGAGGTTACGGGGAGCTACCCGTCTCACAGGACCGAGAGAGGGGGGACGAGGAGGGCCAGCAGGCCGGGCAGGGGCAGACCTTCGACTGGATGAAGGTGAAGAGGAACCCGCCTAAAACAGGTGAGCGGGGGTGGGTGATCTTTCTGGCGATAACTGGTTAAAGATGAAGCCTTTAGAAGAGGCTGGGCCTGCAGTCAGCAACTGCTGAGATTCAGTAGTGATTTGTGAGGTTTCCACTGAAGATGAGGAGCAGTGGCCTCTTCCGCATTTATCATAGTGGCTGTCAACGGAAATGTTACAGCAAAGGGCCGAAAATAAGTAGCTTATTTTAAGAATGGATTATAAATAGCTGAGATGTTGGAAAAAAAATAAAACAAAATAGCTAATAGTCAGCAACATAATGAGAAAAATAAAGCCAGGCTATAAAACAGTTGTAAGTTGTCAGTTGTCTGAAAGGCTTTGTTAAAGAGACTTTCTGTAACAGTATGAGCTCAAGAGGCCCAATAACTCTTGATAAATAACGAAATTAATATTAGCCTAAAATGTTTCTTTTTTCCCTGCAGGCCTCGGGTTTCATTTTCTCTCTGTACACAGATGTCAGCCTTTTCTAATGTAAATGTTCTTACTGTTCTGTCCTCTTTTCACTTGTCTTAATCACTCAAGTCTGAACTCGTTTCACTGTAAACCGACGCAGAATTAAGAAATAAGAAAAAACAAAAAACATTTGAGGTGTGCCATAAATGTATTTTTAGGTCACATTTATAAAAAAGAAAAGTATAATAATGACACATGCATTCATCTCACACGTCTTTCGACAACAATAACACATTTGTTGTCTTGGCGGAAACCTTTCTTTAACAAGAACTGCGACTGCACCAAAACCTGAAGCATTTTATTTTTATTATAATGAAAAACTCATAATTCCGCTTTACAATAAAGAAAGAAAAAACATGAATCTCTTTCAGGAATTTTGTTTTGCTTTTCATTGTGACAAAGTGACAAACAAATACATTTTAAATTAAAATATGGAGGTTTATTTGGTTATTGCTGTAACGAATATAGAACAACGAATAGAAACATTTAATTTCCTCGTTACGTCATAAACTTGAATACTGCTATCTTGTCGTTTTAAAGTAAAATAATAATAATAATAATAATAATAATAATAATAATAATAATAATAATAAACAGCCTTCATGTGTTT